TGCGTCAACGGCCAAGCCTGAGTGCACGAAGCAATCTGTACTCACGCAGTCGTTCTTGCCCTGTGCTGGCAAAGCACCCAAAGACTCACACGGCTGACAGCTACTGCAGCTACTGCGGGCCGCGATTACATCTAAACAGCATACTCCAAGCAGTCCCAGGCGGTCTTAGCCAATGGACATCACGCAACCGGTAGAACACTTCGTTGTAACTTTTTTTCTTAGATGTAACTTTCAGGTCTTCCGCAAAATGATTTAGTTGTAGCTTTATTTGGCTCCGAAAACAGCAAATCTCTGCAGGGGGTTGCAAGACAGGCATCTTAGTAACTTTTTTTGGTGTCTTTAGCACCAAGCCTCTTTCCTGTTATGGTGTCCTAACGTTGTCTCCTTAGGTTTTTTCGTCTTCGGTCAACGGTTCATGCTGGATTCACTCCTTAGGATTTTCGTCTCTGGAAGTCACCCCTTAGGGTTTTCGTCTTGGGTTTTCACTCGTTGTCGTCTTGGGTTAAAGTATCCTGCTGGGTTCACTGCTTAGGGCTTTCGTCTTCAGGAAAAGCTTCCTGCTGAATTCACTCCTTAGGGTTTTAGCCTTGGGAATTCATTCCATAGGGTTTCGTCTCGGGATAAAATTCTGCTGGATACTCCTTAGGGTCTTCTTCTTCGGTCAAGGGTTCCTGCTGGATGCACTCCTTAGGGTTCTCGTCTTCGGGAAAAGGTTCCTGCTGGATTCACTTCTGAGGGTTTACGCCGTTTACGCCTTGGGAATTCACTCCTTAAGGTGTTCGTCTCGGGTTAAAAACTCCTGCAGGATTCACTCCTTAGAGTCTTGGTCGTCGGTCAAGGGTTCCTGGTGGGGTAGGCGGGACATGTGGGCTAGGTGGGGCACGGGTCAGTAGGAACAACGAAAAAGGTTACATCTAAGAAAAAAACGTTGCAACTAAGCCTGCTACCTTACGATACCTGTGATGGTGTGGCATACCAGTGACGTCTAAACCGAAAGCTCCCAACCTCCAAGACCCTCTGTTGCCTTTTAAAGGACTCCATGAAGCCCGTATAAAACAAAAAAACCTCCCGTAAACTCCTTATACACCCGACACAGTGCCTGGGAATCCAACGAAGCCGCGAGGGCAAGGCCCACAAAGCAGATGGCGGCCGTCAGCGAGCCGAGGAAGGAAGCCACACGAGCACCGTACCTCAAGGGGTCTGGAGCTTTTAAGCATATGCCTCTATGTCTGTGTGGGTGTGCACAGAGACGTTAACAGAAAATGATTCTGAAGCTACCCACCTACCTACTGGGTAGGTGGGTGGGCATGTAGGATTCGTGTGGCACAGACTGTTTCCTGACGCCAAAACACCTACGAGCGGCCACAGCCTTTTTCGTCCGGCAGCAGCAGAATCCGGGCCCCTGAACGGCTACGCAGCAGAGCGAGGAGCAGGAGACCGGCGCCGGAAGCAGTGAGAGCACTGCCGTGATATCCTCCGGCTGTCAAACCCGCCATATATCCAGGAACAGACCGGGGACAAAACGGAGTGGCGGACAGAAGGGGACTGCGGCAAATAAAGAAAAGCTGCGGAACCCTACGGCCCCGCTTGAGCCGCTGCGTCCCGTGCCATCACTGCCATCACAAACATATCCAATCATGTCGCACCACACATAACATGTAGATATTGCCGTACATGGGTATACTTATATGTACATGGCTTGAATCAAAATATGCGCCTGTGCACACGTCTGCGTTTTTATCTCCGATCAAAACCTATACTGACAAACCATAAACCATGCATTCGCAATGAAATGCGTACGTTCTCGTGTGTTGACAAGGCCTCCTGAGCCCTGTGTCGGCAGAAGATTCCTTGCAAGTCCTTGCCGGCAGTCCTGTTGCCGATCACCGTTCCCTTGCTACAGCATGGTCACGGCATTTTCTCGGCCGGTTATCGTGTCCGCTTTTTTATGGCCTATAGTGCTTCACATATCTGCACATTCAGCTGCTATTCAAAAGGCGGCTTCTTAACCTTCAACAATATGCAACTGTACAAGTGTCGGGATTCCCCGATCGTTTGTTCGTGTGCTCGCAGATCTTCATCTCAACGCTGCGTATTACAGCATAGGTTGGATTATCATTTCCGTGAGCATCTAACATCCCTGAATAACTTGACTGTGTGGCCAAACATGGCCAAGGTGCATGTCGTAGGCCAACCCGACCAGGATAAAGAAGCGCATCTGTGCAGAAAATGTGCTGGTGTAGAGGTCTTGCAGACTCTCGCCCTGCTCGGAACAGCTCCGGGCTCCATCTTCACAAGCCCAGCTGAAGACGCCCGCGTCCATGAGCTGCCTTCCACCAGCTCGGGAAGAGTTCAAGGCTTCACTTCGTTAAGCGCCGGTCGGGCCCCGCCTTACGTAGAGTGGAAAGGCCTGGAGAGGACCCGATGACAAGATGGCGAAAAAAGTCACCACCGGCACGAGGAAGTGAGTCTTCCAAGTATATGCTCCCGAGACGTCTCCCATCATTGCAGAAGCCCCATGGGCTGTCCTCTGCTAGGACATTTCCACGTGTTAAGTTACTGCCACTGTTGCTTGCAGGTACTTGCAATACAGCGTCCTTTGCGCTTCTGCCAGGCGCAATTTGTTCTTTGCGATCAGTGGCTCCATGATCTCAGGGCAAGTCTACGTGACTGTAAGACCATGTGCAACGCTGTGCAACTGCATATCTGCGCATCGTGGACTGCCTACAGACGACATGATATTGTTAAATGTCTTGGTAGCTCAGCTGGCATGCATGACGGCACCTCCACTCGAGGAGATCACGGTCAAAACATTGAGGGCTAGCACGTCCGAGGGACAGTGTTCTAGCTGAGACAATGACATATATAATGAGCGCAAGACTTTGTTTACTGCCCAAACCACGCAGACGCTGAACAGGATACACCGACACCCAACGGCCAAACCACTCAACTGCCAGCTTCTGAAACCCCAGTTTAAACGCTTCAACATCGATCCGAGAAAGTCAGCCCATCGCCATAGATGAGCCTGTGATCCTGTCACAACGAACGATGCGCCCCTCTTTCCCCCGTGGCCTCGCAGGCTTCGCGGAAGTCAGACCCAACAGGGCTCAGTGCCGTGTCGACGCCCGGCTCCACGGGCGGCGGGTTGCTTAGCGCCTCCTGCGCGACTGCTACATAACTTGGGACTTCAGAGGATTGCAGTACCGAACAACAGTCTCGGTCACTGGCAAAGGAGAAGAAGGGAGGAATGCAAGAAAGTGTCAGAGCAGTCGTGAAGGCGAACCAACATCGATGTGTGCCCCGGCAGGGCAATGTAAGCATTGAGGGGACAGTCTCATTGCCACAGAGACCATCCCCGCGGGTCCTTGATATGCTGGCATACTGCTTTGGCCAGCTCCCGTGCTCTGGGCACAATATTCCTTGGTTTGCACACGTTGCTCGAACTGTGGCTTGCAATCTGTTGCCCCCATATCTGTCCATCTTAGGCGGCTTGATTACAAGAGGGATTCGGGACTGCCTCGCTGTGTGTCGGCTGAGGCTCTTCGTCACCTGTATGCTCATCGCCATGGTGCCAGAAGCTCCGCTGGTGCAAACGGAGAGGTTAATGCCGGTCATGAAGCCGGCGAGCGCGGCCTGGACCCGAGACAAAGCGGGGCCCCAGTCCCTTTGAGAGCTGCCTTTTGTCTCTCGGTGTAAAACAAAAAGGGGGCGGGGGCCTGGATGTTCTCAAGAACTTCGAAGCTGTCGTACTTGCCAAAACTTGTCAGCACGCCCAGCGACGATACCTCACCCATGCTCGCATGCAGAGAGTGGTTGCTTTGTGTGCCCATGAAGACTTAAGCCGAGTTTACGCGGTGCGACCTTTACGAATCGCAGGGAGTGGATTTAAATGCAGCGCCAGTGCCGAAACATGATCTCCTTGCTCTCCCATGCCAGCTGCGAGCTCTGCGGAGGCACCCGACAGCATCTGGAGCATCTCAATAGAAAGGAACCTAGACCATCGGTCATAGGCGAAGCGATTGCTAACGCGGCTCTTCAGAAAATTAGAGGACACAGAAGATGGGGCCAGGAAGCTCGTTCTGGATGATGAAACCGGGAAAGGTGACTTTCTCCTGCCATGCCCATCCAAGAAGGTTCTTATGCCGTGGCGGGTGCTGACAGTGCAGACCCTCCTGGATCACACGGTCCATGAATCGACGAGCTTCCCTCGCAGTGTGCCAGAAGTCGGGCTGGACCTCCGAGAACCAGTGCAAGGCGCTCGCGAAGTTCCCCATCTCCTGCGAGTAGCGCTTGTCCTGGATCAGGCTAAAGAGCCTACTCTCAACATATTCCACAGGCGGCCCTTGGCCGGAGGAATCTTAGCAAAGATCAAAGATGCCCACACATCTTCCTACCGGCAGTCGATTGCCCTCGCACAGGACAAGCAGCGACAAAAGACCGCTCATTCATGAGGAGGCCGACTTTGATGCGATCGGCTTCTAAACATCTTGCTTGAAGTTCCTGCGAGACAGATTTGGTGAAGCGCTCAGCTGCTCTGCACAGCGGCAAACTGTGGAGTGAGCGCCTTCAATACTGCCAGGTGGGCTGCAGCCACGATCGCACCAGTCACAGTTGTTCCTGCCATCCAATTCGTGTGTGAAACTACACATGACCGTGCGAAGCATGCACATGGCTGATCTGACTCCAGCATCCCATGTCTCCAGCCGCGGCATCCCCTCGAAAAAATCACCGACAGATTTCATGAATCTGAGGCCGAGGGGTTCCTGCGGCCCGGCTAGCTTTGGCCAGAGCTTTCGTCTCCGATGCATCAAGGCGCATGAGCTCCAGGCAGAAGCCCTGGCCAAGCTCAGGGCTGCAACGAGAGCAAGTTGATTGGACCAAGACTTAGCAAAGCAGACGTAGATGCACAGATACACAGCATTACACACCAACACTGGGATCCACACATAGCGCGAGAGTGTCAAGAGAAGCCGACATGAAGACGTAGCATAGCAAGGATCAGCTCTGCATATGTCTGCAATGTCTTTCAACAACCAATTCTCGCCAATCCGACCTATCGACCACATTGGAACAGCAAAAAGGAGACAAAAGAACATGCCTCGAAAACCGCCCGAAACTCCGGATCTCGTGGTTGAACGAAGGTGTCCTTAGTTTCGGATGGGCGTTTCGCGGTCTCCGCTGCGAGGCGGAGTACTTCCACCAAGGCTCATGCTGCGCGTGGCGAATCTTTGGTGGAAACTCAGCTTCGATCGACCGCCACTTCTGCACCTGCTCCTTGCTGAGGCTGCCATCGAAGCTGATTATTTCGGTGTAGTTCATGTGGCCTCGGAGTCGCATTTCATCGCCATCGTTTCACATCCAGTCCGGTGGACCGAGATCCGTTGACAAAATGCGCATTGCAAAAGGCTGAGCAGCAAATCAACGGGTGCTCTCCCGTCCAACAAAATCTAACATTTCCAAGACGAGGCGGCTGCTGCCGGTTCCTTCCGGAAGGGGTCGTCCTTCGTAGAGCAAGAGCAGCTGCCTTGGGTCGTTTAGCTTGGCCGACTTGGGGGCTTGGAGACGGGTCGGCCAGGGTGCGCCAGAGCGATCTCCACGGCCCGGCCATCTCCAGGTCCGTGCCTGCAAGGCCCGCAAGGCTGAAAAAGCCCTCTTCGGTGGGCTCAGACTCAGTGCCTCATGCCCACAAGCAGCAGGGCCCGCTGCACTGCATCCCCATACCTGCCGGGGTGGAACTGACACGCTTGCAGGCTTTACAGGTGTCAGAATGACTGCCACGGTAAGCCAGTCTACCAAATGTAGGTGACAAAGACTGAAGGGTGTTCGTCCATGTGGGTCCTTAGTGCAAATTCGAATCTGATACTCTCCTCTGAGGCTGGGAAAAGGAAGTCCGACCAGCGTTGTTCCAAGTGTCAGAAGAGCTGCCTCCAGATCCAGGTTCATGGTCGCTAGGTCTGCTCCCGTCTTCTCATGGATGGGGAGGGGTGTGTTGTCTTCCACCTGCAGAGAGCACGCTCCGCTTCCTCGCTTCTCAAAAGCCACTTAAGCTGAAGTTCATCCCGCAATCGACGAGCAGAATCTCAGTGAGCACCCCTTGCAATGACGCGAGAAAGGGAGGCACTCTTTCCTTCCGAGGGACAACATAGTGTTGGCCGGAGGCATCGCGTATGAGCCGGGCCCTGAGCCGCGGATGCTGGGCTTGCAAGCGATCCAGTGCCACCCGCAAGCGCTTCATGTCCAGTCGAGGGCCTGAAATCTTCGGTCAGCGTATAGGGGCACACAGGCGAGCGTGGCACTAGCACGACCTAACCACCGGTCTGCGTGTTCGGGGATTGGGCTTCCTGTCAAGTTCCAGACCTTTGAGTTGGACGGCATGAAGATGATTGAAGTTCATACCACAGTCCGCGCTTTGCCAAAAGCCGGGCATGGCGTCCAACCAATCGCCGGTGCTCAGTACCTTTGAGCCGCTGGGTGGGCCACACCATGGCATGGCCTGGTACCTGGCTGCGCTTCAAGCCGGTGAAGTCCGTGTGGCTTGAGCCAGAAGCTCTCCATTCCAGGAACTGCGCCTTTCCGTTACAGTTACAGCCCCACTTCCCGCACTACATCGCGCTACGCTCATCTACGCTCGTTGAGGGACCCCTCTGGCCAGGGCCCTGTGCTGGAAGCGCTGCTGCTCGCGCTGCCTGCGCCTGTGTCGGTGGGCCAAGAAAGCTCCGCAAGGTCGCTCGCCAGTCGCTTGCCAGTCGCAGGCCTGTTCGAGGGCTGCTTCCCTTTCCTTCTTAATGTCCTGCAAACAGTGCATGTCTGGTCTCTGAGCATGAGATTCAATGAGCAAGGCAGGCAACCAACACCCGTCCTGGTCGTTTCCCTTTCCGTCGTCGGGCTTCACGTCCTCGTCTTTCTTTTCGTCACCTTGGGCAAATCAGATGCAGTACACCGTTGCACTCTCTTTGCTGTCGTTTTGTCTTCGGGGTGGAGACAGGGTCGGGCTCTACCTACTGTCAGCATGTGTGCTGCATACCAGGCGCCACAAGCGAGAGCCCATGAGGCGCGGAGCTGCAAAACAGGTGCCTTCTGATGCAGACGGGTTGAAATTTGGGCTGCGACTCATTAATGCTCTTGCAGCCTTCTGCCATAGTGAGGCAGGAATTTGAGGGGTCGACCTCAGCCAAGGGCTTGCAGTCAGGACTTCACTTCTTGACTGTAGGCTGGTGGGCCAGGCAAGGAGCAGGAGAAGCTACATCCAGATAATGATTTCGCCGTACTGTGGTCTTCCTACCTCACGCCGTGCACACATGAGTCAGGACAGCTCACCCTGAAGCAAACCTCCCGCATTCTCCATTAGCAAAACATCTTGAATGCGTAACCTCAATAAGAAAATCTGCTGCAAGAAAGAGACACTGACTCTGCCGCCAAGGCTACGTATATGCACGAGCATTCATCTCTTACACATCGAAATCCAAGCCATTGGACTTGCTCCACACTGAACACGAAGCTGTCAAAACAGAGAAACTTCTTGCATAGATGGGTGTGCGACATTCTTGCAGCAAGTCAGGGACAAAGCCCCTTGAAGCAGAAGCCTGCAGCATCCGTGGGTCGACACACATGATGCTGGTCACCAGTCGCTCTAGTGGTGTTGGCTCGCTTGGAGTTGTTGACTACTGCCTCACAGGGGAGCAGTACACAGCTATGTAACAGAGATGTTCAGGATTCAAGACCAGTGGGTTCAAACCGGGTCTTAGAGCTCCTATGCCGCTCTGGAGCTTTAGAAATGTCTGCGTGCCAAAGTGTCTTTCCTTCGGCAAGTCAGGGCGAGAATCCGCCTCAGTAAACTGCGGTAGGTAGGAACTGTAGGAGTAGGAAGTCAGCCCCTGCAGATAACTTCGGCGGGCCAAGCTAGTCACTAGTCAAATTCAAGTTTGATAACAGTGACTAAAGCTTCTCGTCTTGCGCCTTAAAGACCGTATGAAAGGAAAGAACACATTAACAACCGTGTCTGCACAATTGACCTTTATCCTTTATCCAACCAGTGGAGCCTTTGACCTAGGCAGCTCAGGAATCCAGTGTGCATAATATTGTGTAGTGGGCGACAAACGTCTTAGCAAGATGCAGCACCCAGCCGCACACATGCCTCACACTGGATGCAGCCACTTGCAGCGTCAGAGTCTCATGCGGCCGGGCACTCGGATGTAGGGACTTGCAGAAAGCGGCTTGTGAGCACTGGTAAGTGCAGTGCACGTTGCATTTCGTGCAGGTACCAAGGCACGATTGTCCAACTTTGACGCACAGAATTTGTGCTGATTGCGTATTTCTTGGACCTCCCAAGCACCCAAAAAAAACCTCGAAATCAACCGCTAAGTCTTCTTTGAGTGTCAAGTTTCGGGTACCTCGGAGATCCAACTTCTTTTTGCCAAAGTCGCTTTCGTGTTGCCCAAGACTCGTGTGGTGCCAAGCTGCTACATGGCGTGGAAACGTCTCGCTACTTCCGCCAAGACTCGCATGGCTCTGGCATCTTGCAATCAGTCGCAAGGTTTCAGGGGCCATGTCCACGAAGGACTGCATCCAAGTTCCGTTGTTACTTCTCTGTTCCGCAACCATGGAGCGGTGCATCGTCCAAGGGCCGGTTGTGCTAGGAGAACCCTAGTCATCCCAACCCGGATGAAAGATCCCGTGGAGCGAGCTCGTATCTCGTGAAACCCAAGCCCAAGATTGCAACCCAGACAACTTCGTCCGACTCTCCCAGAGTCGGAGGCTCCATAGATCAGGTCTGATCTTGCAGCCCAAGCAACAGGAAAACCAAGACGCAAGCGGAGAAATGCCTTGATAAAGGCAATGCAGGACAAGAAGGTTCGGGCCACCGGCAGTCTAGTGGTGGAAGCTAAACTCCTTCCAAACCGGTTCTTTTTCCACGGCACCGGTCAGTCCCCAAGCAAAGATAGGGCGCTGCAGTCCAAGTTGTGAAAGTAGGGGGGGTAAGGATGTCGACCCTGCTAAGAGCAGCTATCCAAGACCTGGAACATGGCCACACCATGAGGGGCTGACCGGACAGAAGGACAGGCAAATAATTTGTTTGGAAAACGACATTCACGAAGTCTTGCGTCGGCATAGTTTGGTGGAATGCTTCGGTTTACGACTGGCCTTCCCGGGCTTTCTGAAATCTGCTTGCAGCAAAGTCTTGAACCGAAGGTGCCTTCCACGTTCCAGATACTGCGACTCTGTTCCAGCACCTTGGGATACTGCTTATGACCCCTGACTGCGCAGCAAGAACTGCAAAGCCAGGACGCCTCTCGCTTGAAGAGAGAGGAGAAAGGCTTCCCAGAACGCCCGAGTCTGCAGACAAGGCCGGTTGGGTGTCTGGCGGGGGCTGCAGCGTTAGGTTGGACTTTGTGCTTTGAGTTTGAGGCAGCTGGTCAGTGAGGCATACGGCTGTCCATTTCTCTCCTCTGCTGAAATGCTTGAGGCCATGCTTTGGTGCAGCAAAACACTGGAAAAGCAAGCTAGTCATTGCAGTCGCCATGTCCAAGTCCAACAGTCGCACATCTACATGTCGCAGTGTTCTGAAGCAGAAATCTGCAGCCACTGTAGCCGATCTCGGAGCACTGACCGGTGAATACTCACGAAGCACGGGCCTGTGCAATCTCAGGGACCTGAGAACCAAACCCGCGACAGGCAAGCCGTTCGAAGTGCAAACACGGCCAAGTAAGGATGTTCAGACTTCCATGCAGCAAAAGATTCCTTGAGAGACTCTTGAAAGAAAAGACATGTGCAGAAGTAAGAGCATTGCTATTCCGACTGAGGCAGCTGGCGCCCACTGGTCGCGGCAGGAACGAGCTTTCCCCGCTACGCGATTTGTAAGTTGGAGCCACAAGACCGGAAGTCGAGGCGCAGAACAATGAATCTTACCTCTCGTCTCGGTCAATGCGGTTGCTCGGACTGTTCTGAAGCTTATTGGCTGCCTTAGCACTCTGCTTGCTCACGCTATCCTCGGTGGCTGCTTGGCGTTGTATTTCTGGTGCTACCTACACAATGAAGATCTTTCCCGAAACAGTAAGAGCACGCAGAGTTAGGCAGTCAAGGCCATTCAATCGCCGTGCCTTTCACCCAGTCCCCACTAGCTGCTGCATTTATGCTTCCTACGTTTCCACTAAACGAGCTAGTCGACCCCGCTTTAATTGAGCTGAAATGCTCGTACAGGGCTACGACGCTTGGACCAGATAGCTTTCACAACCCCTCGGACAACTTAAAGGCTTTTCATGCAGCTTTGCTGCACGTCAAACACGACCATTTGACCCTCCAAGTTCGGGTTTCGCATATTGTCTGATCTCTTGCTCCGAAGTATACTTACTATACTTCGACTAGTACAGAAGAGTGGGAGGTCGCCTAGTTGGCAATCCTACTTGCCTTGTAGACCAAACGACGGGGCGTACGCCAGGCCACTTGAGCTCCAGCGGGAGCCTCGCACATGACTCTGAGATGCGCACCTAACAACCTGGACCTAGATATGCCTCCAGATGGAGGTTCTGACATGTGGACATCGACGGTCTCAAATCCTCCCCTGCATGATCCCATCCCGGTCTTCTCTCTGACTCTTCCTCCGACGCACGCTACCTTCATAGCCTTCATAGCTCTCCTGAATTACAAAGGATGTTTCAGAGGCATCATGACTTAGTACTTACTGTGCCGTGTGCTTAGGTCTAGCTCCACTGCTTGCCTGCGCTATGGAAAATTTCAGTGACCGAGGAGTGCAAACAGAATCCAGCTACAATTATCATTCTATCTTTGATGATTTTAAAACAAGCCAGAGCGCTTCCAAACGAAATCAAATGACTTCTGTAAGCCTGAACCAGAAACATCAAATATCTTGGAAGGTCGTCGTCCAAAGGCTCCTGGATCTTCTATTGGGAACTCAGATAATCAAATATGATAAATCGGAGCTCATCTGCCCATGGTGCACTGGGGGAGGAACTCTTCTGTCTGTTCAGCACAAGTTCGGGGGCCTTTAGCAAAGAAGGGAAGATGGAGCGGCTCTCTTCAAATAACCTTCCTTTTGAAGCAACCGGGTGTTCTTACTTCATCACAGCGCCGCAGCTACCCTAAGAAATAGCGTGGCTTATCTTATTCTACAGCAGAGGCTCGCTCGATGCGTGAAAATCGGGAGGTCTTTACTTCTTAACTTGGATGGATCGTCAGTTTAGCAACAGCCAACCAACGGCCAAGAGACAACAGCCACCAACAGCCACCAACAGCATCCAACAGCGGCCAACAGCCGCCAACAGCCATCAACGGCCAAGCAACAGCAACTTTCAATTGAACGCTGCGCGAGCGTGCTCTGCACGTGGCGGGCGTATTGCCGAACCTGCACTCTTGTGAAACATAGATAAGCTGGCGAAATACTCAAGCTTGAAGCAAAGCATGCCGTCGACGTACTTACCGAAGCGCTTCAGGCTGACTCACTGATGCTGCATGCTCTATACCTCCGCCACCCTCAATGTGAGCCAACGCATCCGATGCTCACGAACCAAGGCCTGATGGGTCGTACTCAGCGTCTGCAAGCATCAACTGAGCCGGGTCCGTGAGTGCCAGTTTAGTGGCGTCCCACACTTGCTCACTGTCAGGCAACGGCGATGGGCCGTAAGGGAATGACAACATGAATGCAGCAGGGTTCCTGGCGCCTGGTGCCTGGTAATCACGGCTGACATTGCTAGAATGTGCGCACCGCATTGGAGTAGGGCTGGCCGGAGCAACTTTATTTCTGGCAATCTTGCTGGCCACAAGCGATGCTGTCACCTTGCCTATGCACAAAAGCGCCAGCCGCAAGCTCCACATGATTGGTGCCAGTCACGATGTCAGCGGCCGGGCAACAACAACCACCACCACCACCACCAACAACAACAACAACGACAAGAACAAATACAAGAACAAGAACAAGAACAACAGCAGCAGCAACAGCAACACCGTCAGCAACAGCAGCAGAGGGAGCGGCGTCACATGGTGTCACCATCTGCATCGGCGTCATTACCACCAGCAACATCAACCTCAAGACGGCCCACTTCATCATCGTCGTCATCAGCCTGAGAGCAGTTTCCAAAACAGTTCTTTCCCCCTCGACGACTCAGATCCGAGCCCTGGCTCCTGCGGATCTTCCACCGGCGCACGCTGCATGTCCCGCACCTGCTCTGGTCTTCTCCGTGTGCACTGTGTCCTATGCGTATTCTAGATCTATGGTACCCGAATACGGGGATTAAAGCGATGCTTCAATAGCAGTTTGCAAAGCGTTCCGTCGAAGGCTCGGATACAATGTGCTGAGAGCCTTTTGCGCGTTCACTTCGCACGCTTTGCTGGCCAGATCCTTAAATCCTCCTCAGGCAGCATTCGGAGTAGGCAGCCGAGAGACGATCTTCAAAGGATCAGCTAGTTGATTGAAGCTGGAAACTTTGCCCTTCGTCGGGAACAGACTCAACACACCGGACAAGGAGGGTAGGACTGACTGGCGGAACCACATGTATTTGCCTGCTGGTGCGCGAGGGAGATTGGGCTGCTAGAGCAAACCGACTGGCAATACAACTCTAGCCCGAAGCATGTGGTATAACGAAGGAAAGAGTGTAAGGAAACAAGACAGAACCAACAATCACGAACATAACCACAAGCAAGTCTTTGAAATTAACCATAGATCGGAGTGGCCGACGATGGTCTCACGGCCGGGGAGTCCCAGGGACTGACTTCAAAGGCTACATCTGGCGTTGGCCAGCCTCGCAATGTTGTGCAGAAAACCAGGTGGAGAAGCACACCAGCTCCTAAAATAGACTCTCTTTACGAAGACGACAGTACAAGCACGTTCAGCGAATCTTCGGTGCTTCTGAGTGCTTCTGCTCCTGGACAGGGACTCCTGCATCTGACGGCAGGTCCAAAGCTGTAAATGACTATGACGAGCGATGCGGGAGTCCGCAAGATGCGACAACTGCCCGGTGCGCCGGCCAGGTGCATTGAGCAACTGCCCCTCGTGAAGGCTTGTCTACGGGACTCAAGTCGGACACAATGCTGGGAGAGTGCATCAGGCTACACACACCTGGCTGTGCCATCACCAGATGGATGGCACGTGTTCACGACGAGTAGGCTGGCTCTCTGTGGCCAGGCCCTGCGCATGTGTTGCAAGTGCCTGAGTGCGCGATGGTGCAAATCACCATCAGAGCTACGCCAAGAACCTGAAGTGGCCTCAACGGTCCGAGAGCTTCAAGCCTTTCCCAGTCCCGCCGAAACAGAGCGCAGAGAAGCACCAGCAAAAGTCTTCAGACTTTGCACAGATGACTATTCATCCACTCGCACTTCAAGCAAGCATGCAAAGCTTCCTGGAGCTGGTGTTGGAAAGACATGGGTAGTTCAGGCTCTGCCTTCAAAGGCTGCCTGCCTAAAAGTTGCTTCCTGACGCTGTAAGATACAAAGCTCCCGGACGCCAGCCTGCCATCCTGAGAGTCTCACAGAGTGGATCGGTACTACGACAAAAGCCTCGCAGCCACGATCCTTCCAGACCGTGGCAGTCTGCCAGGCACCACACGGGAGCATTGCCATGCGGGTGCCCTAACCTAGTGAAGTCTTGTCAGGAGCGGCCAAGCATGAAGGAATCCACAGAAAAAAAAAGCCTCGAAGGTTGGATCAGTTGGATCGGATCTTATTTGGGCTTCCTTCATGCCGATGTCTACCGGTCCAAGGACTCATTCTAGCTCCTGGTTGAGAAGAGACGACGACCTACAAGAAAGTCAAGCCTGAAGTTTTCATCGACCCCAGGCCTCTAGCATTCCAGCTTCCACGCGTTACATTTTACAATTTTGCAAATTCTGTTTTGCAGGCCCCGAAGCCTGACATGTCGTTTGCTTCTCACTCAAAGCGCTCAGTGATGTCGCCGCACTGGCGATGTTCACCTGAGTGAGCCCAAGGGGCAACTCAACAGCTCACTCCGACGCTGTCGAGTCGCGGATCAAGCCGACAGAGAGCAAAGATGATGGGCGGCCCGGGTCATCCCAAAAAGAAAACCATCTCCGAGGCCTCTGCAGCGCAATGGGCCTAGCCGAAACTCACCTCAGATATCAGTTGCAGGAATCTGTGGCCACTCCGAAGTGGGTGCGCCTAGTGCATGGTCCCCAGGCATCGGAATCCCACCACACCTACCAACTGCCTGTCTCACATGAAGGGATCGCGATACCAAAGCTCCCCCAGTTCTATTCCGTCACGTGATGCAGCAAGATGAACACACTAAACGCCAATCTCTGAAACACCTGACCAACTCGTGTTCATGCGAGAGAGGCGCAGCGGAGGAGGCCACATGCCCGGCAACTGCATCATGGGTGGCACGGCCATGGGGCCCATGGGCTGCATCGGATAGCCACCCGGAACCTGGCATTACTGTACAAGACTGCGGGACGTGCGAGGTTCCTGCTCAAGTAAGCCTCAGCGCTTTTCCGTCCCTTTCCCCAAATCAAAGCAGCAGGACCAGGCCGACTGACATCGGGCTTGCAGCCTGCCCAAAAAGCTTTTGGTAAAGGCTCGTTTGGGTGTGCGCGGACCTGTTACACATGCATCACCTCATCACCTGCATCTTCGAAATCACACTTCCTGGAAATTTGGTAACTTCAAGTAGATTTCTGTGGAGCTTAGCGCCCAAACAGATGTCAGCGTCACACTCGGCATGCCGTCCACCGATCCGAAAGCCGAGCCTGGACGAGCTCTTGCTCTTTTCGTAGTCTGGGCCAGCAGATAGATCGACGGCTCATGGAAATTCGGAGCAATTGCATTCTGAGCTCGCAGCATTGCCCTTTGTCTGGCGCGGCCTTCGAGGCTCAGCCAATGTGAACAGCTTTTGGTTGGGAGCTCAGTATGATCAGAAGCCGCTGCTTGAGCTGGGCGGCGTTTCTTCTCGCCAGAATCACAGAGATGGCAGAACTCACATTCGACACCGTTTGCCTGGCACCACAATCGCTTTCGAAACCAACAAACATGCGGATTGGAGATTTAAGTGCGCGTCTTCCTGCTGAAGTGAAGCAAGCCCAGCAGCTTGAGAATCTACTGTGATACTACATGAGGTTGATCCGTAAGCAAGAGAGGTTGGCGCAGCCCTTCGTGTGGAAGAATGCGCAGGGCCTGTGCCAAGGCTGCAAGAACCAGTCCCTAGAACCATCAAGATTGCTCTAGGGCTGCCCAAATCCTTCAAACTGACACAGCAGTGGGGGGAGTGAGGAAGCCGTGTGACAGCGGCTAATGCAATCAACTGATGAGATCCTTGTTGCAGTGAGCCACAAGCAACTTGCCGCATAGTCTTCATTTGCTTACTGCAGCTGCGCCTGCATTTTCCTAACCGATGATCACGCGAGCCTTGCGTAGGCCTCAGCAACCAAGCAGTGCCGGTACAGTGGATTGGTCCTCCTTTTTTGGCAAAGTCGCATTTTCACGCACATCGTTCCATCAGGAATGCCACCCTCAGGCCACTACACCTCAGGTGATCCCACTGCTGGCTCTTGTTCTTGAAGAGCCTCTTCACGGCGCCAGGACCATCCAAAATCTATTTGACCCCCAACGCAGCACTTTCCCCCTTTCCCAACTGCTTGTTGAGTTCCGAGTCTGGGCCTGCGCCAGTTTGACCGGAACAGGCAGGTCTGCTGCATCCTGACGCAAGTAGGCATTCGGCCAATGCCCGTGGTCCGCTCTGCTTCCGAAAGCCCTGCACTTTCTGGAGCCAGCATAAGCACACTCCTTGTCGCGGCTGCCAGTTGGCAAGGGCGGGACGCTCTCCGGAACAACAAATTGTGGAGCCCTGGCCAGGGGAGACGTGGTGACTGAAAGCGATGCTCCGGTGATCAGGCCCTCCCTGCCTCTCTGCTGGCGGAGGCGGGGGCATCTCCTTGAGAGAGGGAGCCTCGAGAGACGCACTGCAGACCGACCTACATGGACTACTCGTTTCGGAGACCCTTTTGAGATAGTTTTGAACCATGGCAGAGCCCTATTGCCCTCTACTGAATCCGCCAACCTGCCCGCTGATGTCGACCTGGGAAGGTCGCGATGGATTTCACAAAATTTTACACAGCTGCGCTGCTTTTGGAGAGCTGGAGACCAGCCCGGACCAGTCTGCTCACTTCGAAGCTCTGCGACTCTGGACTAGAAGCCTAGAACGCGCTGCCAGCGCGATCTTGCCCAGAGGCTCTGCCAAGTCCAAGCGAAAAGCTGTGGTCAACGCCGAGCACCCGGCCACGCCAAGGCCAAGTGAGATGAACTCCTCCAAGCCATCGCCGCTCATTGTCCTAATCGGCGAGATCCGGCGCCGAAGGGACACAGTTGTGACTGTTGTGCCAATGTGTGTTGTGTGTGTGTGTGTGTTTGTTTGTGTGTGTGTTTGTTTGTGTGTGTGTTTGTTTGTAGGTGTTTTTGTTTGTGTGTGTGTTTGTGTGTGTTTTTGTTTGTGTGTGTTTGTGTGTGTTTGTGTAGGTTTGTGTGTGTGTTTTTGTTTGTGTGTGGTTGTGTGTGTTTG